TCTGGATCAGATAATGCTGAACCTCTGAGGGTGGTGTTTGAGCATGGGTGCTTTGCAGAATCTCCTCAGATGAGCGTATCAAGGTGCAGCCAGCTGTGAAGCTTCAATGTGGTAGTGGACTTCTTGAGGCAAATACGGGAGAGTGAACTGAAGCAGAATCCATCTGAAGAGTGACATGAATTAAACAGCTGTGAGGTTTGGAGAATTTGGCTCTCTGAGACATGCCTCAGGAGACTCTGATGTCTTCTGGGCCATATGGTATAGTAGGGACATTGCTCGTACCTCTGGGTTTGACTTGGCTAATTCATAGCCATGAATTCCTTATTAGCAATTTCAGCTTTTCATCTGTAAAATGCCACTTCTGGAGTTGTTTTGAGAATAAAGTGAGACAGCAGATATGAAAATGCTTTAGAACTCCCATAACATTTCGAAAACCTGAAAATTGATGTTTCTTTGTGCCCCAGCTTCACCCTTACTGCCACAGTGTCATGATTCCCAGTGAGTCCTATTGTGAGGACCACAGGAAGCTTGTGAACCCAGCTGGCTGTAGGACCAGTGTCCTCAGGCTGTGGAGAAACTTCCTCTGAATCCCCCCTCACTTACTCTGCCCATTGAATTTGGGCTCTCATAAGAAAGGGTGGGACCTTGGTGACAGTGAAAAGGGACTTTGACCTTGACCAATGTCTCCCTCTCACCTTCCTTAGGAACATGCTTGCCAATTCAGCCAGCGTACGGATTCTCATCAAGGGAGGCAAGGTTGTGAATGATGACTGCACCCACGAGGCTGATGTCTACATTGAGAATGGCATCATCCAGCAGGTGGGCCGTGAGCTCATGATCCCTGGAGGGGCCAAGGTGATTGATGCCACCGGGAAACTGGTGATCCCTGGAGGCATTGACACCAGCACCCACTTCCACCAGACCTTCATGAATGCTACGTGCGTGGATGACTTCTACAATGGGACCAAGGTAATGCTTCTGTTTGGTGAAGATGCCTTCCTTTGTGGTTTTTCTGTTTCTGGGGCTTCTCCAGGCTAGACCCACATGAACAGGGTGCTCCCACTGTATTGCTAAAAGGAGAAGGGTGCCCTCAATGAGGCAACTTTGGCAACTAAAATAGGAAGTTGTAGGCTAAATGTCATAGGTTTCCATAATTATGGGAAAAGGGGCATTTAGGACTATTTTTCTGGTCACATTACTTACCTGTGTACTCAGGCCAAGAACTGATTTTATTTTTATATTTTTACGTCACGTAATAGAGACCTAGAGAAAGAACAGAATTAGCTGGTGTTTGTTATTGTGCATGTATGTGGTCTGATGGACTCCTTTATGTATAACAAGCTAAATTAATTTCTCAAAGATTGTGAAAAATAGATATGCCTCTTCTAGATGATTTTAATTGTAGAAATTATGAAACAGACATAGTTAGCTGTCTGGAATGAATACCTGCCCAGTAAATGTTTGTTGAATGAGTAAGTCACTGATACTTATCCATGTGGGTCTCTACATCCAGCTGGATGTCAGATTCACTTATAAAGATTTTTTAAATGCAGGATTGAATCAGAATCTTAAGAGCTAGAAGTCCCTGACCCTGGCAGCAGCCCCTTGTACTGTATAATTTACAAAGGAATTGGCTTTTAACGTTCCCTGGGTGAAAGGAAACCACCAACTCCTGCCCCAGTGGCTGCAGTCCTTTGTCCTACTTTGGCCCACTGCCTCAAATCCCCAGTGGCCCTGGACCCTCAGATCTCCCCTCTGTTCTACCTGGGGTTCTCAGGGAGCCCCTTGCCCGTGCTCAGTGCTCTCCCCCTGGGATCCATCTTCCTGGGGGCTCCAGTACTCTCGCTGCTAGGCAGCAACTGTCAAAGCTCCCCAAACCCACCCTAAAGAGCCTGGCTGGGGCTGGGGCAGGCAGAGGCTGGCCTTGGGGTCACAGCTCTCCAGGATAGTCCACCTCATGCAAGTGGCCCTTAATGCTCCCTTCCAATCCAAGATCAGCAGACCCACCCCGAAGGCCTGGGCCATGAGGAGTCACAGTAGCCACGGCCCAGCCTGTGCTGAGGCGAGGATGCTCCCAGGCCTGATACTCCGGCATCCCGGGCCACACCTACCCACTGGAGCCAAGCCCAGGGAAGAGAGGTGATTGGTGGATCCTCTCAACTTTCTCTTCTGAGAATTCCCCCAGGGCCCTACGAGTGACGCTCTAGTAATGAAATAGGGAGCCTTGTCCTAATAAACTCTTGCCGGGGCCTCCTGAGGGGACCCTGGTGGCAGTCAGGGTCTTTGTGACATGAATGAACACATTCAGCTCACCCTCCCCATGCACCCGAGCCAGCCAGGCCAGGCCTGCTTTGTTGGTGGTTACTGTTACTGTCGCTGTTACTGAAGCAGAGCACACATACGGAGAAGGGCACACGATGCAAGTACACAGAATTATCACAACTCAACACACTCTTGTGACCAGCACCCAGATCAAGAAACCAAACATTGTCAGCACCTAGAAGCCCCCCTTGTGTCCCTTCCCAGTCACTGCTCCTCACTAAGGATAACCACTGTGCTGACTTCTAATATCACAGTTTAAAAAATATGTAACAGCTTAATTGAGATATAATTCACATACTTTAATTCACCTATTTAAAGTGTGGAAGTTGGTTGTTTTCAATATATTAACCATAGGTTGGTTGTGACTTTATTAAATTAAATCAAGCAGTCTATACCCTTGCTCAAGATTATTTTTTTAATCTGTGTCTGTGAATCTCTTCCTTTTTTTGTAAATAAGTTTGTGTCATTTTTTAAGATTCCTCATATAAGTGATATCATATGATATTTGTCTTTCTCTGACTGATTTTTTTTTAATGGAGGTACTGGGGATTGAACCCCCAAGACCTCGTCCATGCCAGGGACACACTCTACCACTGAGCTATTACCCACTCCCCTGTTCAATGTTATTTTTGTGATATTCACCCATGCTGTTGCATGTCGTGCTTGATTCACTTTCATTGCTTCACAGTATTCCCCTGTGTGAGAGGCCACGTAGTGCCTGGCCGTTTTGCTATCAGTGGGCATTTCGGTGGTTACTAGTTCGGGGCCATTACAAATGCTGTCACTGTGAATGTTCTTGTACATGTCTTTGGCAACCGGATGTAGACATTTCTGTTGGCGGTATTTCTGGGAGTGGGATTGCTGGGTCATAGAGGACATATATATTTAGCTTTAGGAGATAGTGCCAAGTCATTTTCCAAACTGGTTGTAACAGTTAATACTCCTAGCAGGAGAGTGAGAGAGGCCACAGTATTTGCCATCAGCATAACTCTGATAACCACACCAGTCCATCCTGCAGTCCATCCTGCAGTATGCTCAGGCCTTGCACCAAAACTTGTAGCTTACTGGTTACTGTCCCCCTTGGCAGACCTTTAGTCCAGGGCCAGATGCCATGCTGTCACTACGCTGCCTACCAGCCTCTGGGAGGGCAGGCTGGCTTTCCTTGTCTTATTTTCCACGTTGTCATTTGCTGGGGCCTCATTAGCTTGGAGTGATGAGTTTTCCCCTGAGAGCCTCCAGCTCTCTATAGCTGACAAAGACCTTTGCACGAGCATCTTTGTGCGAGGTAGTGACTCTTGATCTTTTCTGAGCTTCTCATCCATGGGAGCTGCTGCTTCTGGAAAAACACATAAAAGTCCATGTGTGATTAAAAGTCCCACCTCTCCCAGACCCTGCAGGTTCAGGCACCCCCAATCTATGGGAAGCCCTAGTTACAGGGAATTTAAGGGCCCATAGACCCCCAAGACACTCTGGCTGCTGGTGTCACCAAAACTGGCCCTTTGCTTTTATCCATTCCCTAAGCAAGATCGGACTTTGTCCAGGTGCCCCATCTCATACTGAGTATCTGTTTCATCTCACAGCTCCTGACCCAGTCCTCCCCACACCCCTTCAGTAGACCCTGCCCAGAGTCCTGCCTCAGACATCCCAGCCTCCCTAGAAGCGACTCCTGCCCCGTCCCCCCTCCCCTCCACTCCTGAGTTTGTGCTCCTACAGCTGGATATTTTGGCTTCCTCTTGCCTCTAGTTCCTGACAATCTCCTGCAGAGAGAAAATGCTCTCCTGTTGCAATGCTGATCTCAGGGATGCATGGATTTAATTATTCACACAGCCTGTGGCACTCAGACCGAAGCTGTGTACCCTGATAGATTGCCGCTGACCTACTTTGTACCTTCTAAGAAAGGTAGCAGTTGATTCGCTGTAAGCATCTGGGTTTATAATAGAATAATAATCCCAAGGAAAAGCTCACCCAAGTGATTAGCCTATAGAGAAAGAGAGATCAAGTTGCATCTTTTTGTTCTTGTCCGACGGATCCGCGGGGCCTTGAACTCTGTACCCCCTGAGCTATTGCATGCTTGTCAATTTGGCAGCCGCTGCCAGGGCTGGGAAGACAAAACAGTTGAAAGCCTGGCTTTTCTGAGAGCATCTGGGTCTCCATTGTACTGGGTCTAAAGGGATTTCTCTAGCACTTCTTTAACAAATGCTTTGCCCGCCTCTGCTTCTGTTAGAGGCTGTGGCAGGCTCTGCCTGGCTCCCCTGCCTCTGCCGCCCTTGCTCACAGCCTGTCACTTGATCCTCCTCCCCGCCTCCTCCACACCCTCCCAACCTGCAGGCCCCACCCTCCCAGAGGCTCAGAACCTAGTTTCCAGAGGTGCCAGGACCCCCTGCTTGTTAATAATGCCGACCCCATTGAAGAAGGAGGTTATCTCCTGTGGGAAGGTGGGGGAGGTGGGGGAGAGCCAGTGACACCAACTGTGTTGATAAAGGCCTAGGATTTCACTTGGGCCATGGGGGTCTTTTATTTTTATTCTGCCTAGCCTACTTAGAAGTTGTATTTATTCTTTTGTGTTGTATCTAATATTACATAATAAGAATGTGAATGCAGGCTGTTGGGCTCCACCCCATCAATGGCTCTCCATGGCCCGGTGGGAATATCAGATTCAGGCTTTTTAAACTGCAGGCACAGCCCTTTCACTCAGGTGGTGATAGAGGGGGCAGACATGGACAATGGAAAGAAGCTTCCTAGATGCCTTTTCTGCCTCCCGCACCTCTAAAACTATACTAAGAACTACTGTCTAGGACAATTGCTCTCAACCTTTGGAAGCAAATTACAATAGAACTACTTGGGAAGTTTTTAAAAAATACTTGTCCAGGCTCCTCCTTTCCCCTACGCCACCTCCCCAGACCAATGAAATCAATGTTTCTGGGTCTGCCTCTTCCCTCATCAGTATTTTTCAAAAAGGCATCCCTGATGATTCCAGCACTAGCATGTGGATTATTAAGGAACTTTCTCGGTTGCCTTGAATGACATGATGTCCTGGCTGCTACGTGCCAGGATGACATCTGCATCCCCCTTGAAAGCTTGGGCCAGCCTTGCCTCACCCTTGTCAGTCTTATTTATTTGCTTCTCTCTTTCTATTCACACTGTAAGGTCCCATCATTGGGCTCCCAAACCCCAACCTATGGCCTAGAACCCCTGTACTTGCTAAGTGTCCCTAGCTCTGTGTTCTGTCCTCCTGTCTGTACCCCATAGACATCATTGGTGAGCAGGGAAGTTGGCTGTGGTAGAGGTGTCACCAAACGGAGTCCAGCTGGGTCTGTCCCTCTTCTCTGAGGACCCAGAGACTCCCTCTTGTCTGTCCCAGGGCCATCTCGTCACAGAGACAGCCTCCCACTAACTCAAAATCGGCATCAGCAAGACATCTATTCTTGTAGTCAAACCACAAGGGGAGCCAAATCCTAACTGGAAGAGTACTTGGCCAGCACTGGGTCAGCCTAGGGGATGTTCATTGGCATAGGCTAGGATGGCCTGCCACATCTCACCCCCAGTGGAGGGTCCTTACCCTCCTTCCCCCTCCCACTGCAGAGGACTAAACCTGTCAGAGTCCTGACATATGACACGCTGTGACATAAATAAATTCCCTTTGGTGT